TTTTCTAAGCACGGCGCATGCCCTTGTGATCGGGGGCAAAAAAACAAAGTATTGGTTGAACAATTCACCACATCAGGACCTCCCCAACATTGGACACTTTCAAAGCTCGTCTAAATACCCACTTTTATTCCTTGGCTTTTAAATCAGAATGAGTTTGTACTCTTACTCAAATCTAATTTTTTGAGAGAACGAGGGCCTCTGCAAAGAGGGCGCAGAAACCTGATAAATTAATTAAAACACAATAATTAATCAACAATAATAATTATTGCAAATTATAAATAATTAATACATTTTTGAATATACAATAATTATTCTAAAAAAATAAAATAAAATAAAAAGCATCTTTATGCCGCCGAAACCTGTGATATGGTATTCTCTCTTTTTTTTTTTAGATTATAATTCTAATTATTTTTGCTATAAAGACACAATTTCCTACTTTTCCCCTATCGCGGGGGTCCCGGGACGTAACTCCTGTGACAACTGAGAGAATGCTGTAGTCTAAAAGACCCGTTTTTATTGTTTTTCGCCACTGACACACTCAGCACAAGCTGTGCTGACACAAACCAAAATGCTGCAAAAAATAGAAAAAAAAAATCAGTTTTTAGCCAAAGAACACAAATGGACTGATGTAGAAACAGAAGATGTCTATCAGCTTTTTGGTCTCGGGATTTACATATCGCTGCCAAGACTGACATAATCATGGAGACACAATCATGCCTAGTCTGTGCCCCTTCCATCAATGACATATAGACAAGAGACAGGTCCAGAGCCATATTTTGGAACATCCACCTCACTGATCCTGAGTAGGTGGTAAAAAATTATGAAATCCTCTGTGGCAGCCAGCTTATTAACCCCCGAGGAGGGAACTGGCAGTTGATGAAAGGATGGTGGCACCTAAAGCAAAGCCTGGCATGACACAATACATGACGGACAAACCAACTAAATGAGGGATGAAAGGTTTTACATTGGCTGAATCAACCTTTAGATTCATCACATACACTGTTAAGACTTTAAAAGCAAGTGATGATGCCTTATGTCTTATGATGTGGTGATGAACCTTTTTCAGCTGTTGCTTAGCACAGGATGCCATGTTTACATGGACAGTTGTTTTATACCAGTCCCAAATGTTCCTGGATCTGACCAGCACAAGATGTGGTGCATGTAGTATCTACACAGGGAATGCCTGGGAGGGAGGGAAAATACTCTCAACAAAAAAAATGCGAATTAGGATCTGTGAGATGGATCAGAGATGACCCACTTGATATTGTGAAGTGGATGGACACGTGGGAGGTGCCTGTGTGCACCACCATCCACCTGTATGTCCAGGGTGAAGAGAAAGGTGGAGGATGCAGATGGACACTGGGCTGTGAGAGGGGCTGACATACTAGACCAGTTCATTCAGTATTAGTCCACCCACAGCAAGACTGCTGCTGGTACGGGACCGTGCTCTTACACTTCCTGGAGATTGAGACAAGAAAAGCATTCATCTTGCACCGTGAGGCGATCAGTGCCATGCAGGTGCTGCCCATGGCACACAAAGAATTTGTGGCGGAGCTGGTGTGTCAGCATGGAGACAGGCATTCCTCACAGCAGAAGAGCTGAGAAGATTGTGTTCCCATTGTCACAGACAACGATGCCGTCCAAAAAGGCACTAAAGGCAAACGCTTATTTATACACCGTCTCGAGGTGGACAGCAAGAGGAGTGACACACCCCGGAAATATCAGGACTGTGATGTGCCCCTCTGACTTGTGGTGGACAGGAACTGTTTTTGTAGAGGCGTCTTATTGTGACACCTGATTGTTTTATTATGAATATTGTTGTTATTGCTGTTTTTTAAGGGTTTGATTTTATACTTCTTTATATTAACTGGTGCATTAGTTATTTGCCAAATTGCCCATAGGTGTGAATAATTGACCATCTATGTTTTAGCTCAGGAGCTGACCTGTCCAGGGCATACCCATATCAGCCTACGTCAGCTGTGATAGGATTTAAGATTCATAAAGCTTAACGTATCATCCTTAAATAAAAACATTTTTACTGCTCTGCTCTACACAAAAAATACTGACTTCTTCACTCAAGTGTTGCAGTCATTAAACTTCTGGTCAGTGTGAGCTTTATGACCAACAGACTACTACTACTACTCACAGCTATCTTATCTAAGCACGAAACTTCAAGTAGTATGAATTTTCATGTGCCTACTTAAGTGTGGCTTTTGAACAAAGCTTTTGCCACAGATGCTACAAGAATGTGGTTTCTCTCCCGTGTGAAGTTTTACGTGAGTTTGCAGTGTTGATTTATGACTAAATTTTCTCCCACACGTGCTACATGAATACGGCTTCTCACCTGTGTGACTTCTTACATGAGTTTTCATTCCTGATTTCTGAATGAATCTTTTCCCACAAGTACTACAAGAATACCGCTTCTCACCTGTGTGGACTCTCCTGTGAGCTATGATCCCTGACAGGTCAGTAAATCTTTTCCCACAAGTGTTACAACAATGTGGCCTTTCACCTGTGTGAATTCTTAGATGGCGTTGCAACTCTGGTTTCAGACCGAAACTTTTCCCACAGGTGCTACAAGTAAATGGCTTCTCACCTGTGTGTGTTCTCAAATGACGCTTCAAATTTGATTTCTGAATGAATCCTTTGCCACAAGTGGTGCAACAATGTGGTTTCTCACCTGTATGAACTCTTAAATGTGCAGTCAGATTAGATGTATGTAAGGTTTTCCCACAGATTTCACATTGTACATACTTTTTCACTTTGTCAGATTTACTTTGACTCTCTGACACAGTGGTGTTGTCCAAGCTCTGACTGTGTTTCCTCTTCTTCAGCTCTGCATTTTTACTTGATTCTGAGTCCACATGCTTTTCTTCATGATCTTGGCTCTCTGCTTCAGGAGAGCTGTGAAAAAGGAGCTGCTCTTTGTTTGACTCTGGTTCACTGTGGTCACTTTCCTCATAAGATCGAGTCACCATGAAGATATCAGTCTCTTGCTTCAGTTCAACCTGCTCTCCCTCCTGACTGCTGCGGAGTTCCTCCTGTTCTTCTTTAATATGTGAAGGCGCTGGATCCTCCTGGTCCAGACTGGAGTTCTTCTCCTGGTTACAGGCCTGCTGGTCTGTGAGAACTTCCTTCTCACAAATGTGTTGGTGTCGGAGGTCTGAAGAGACAAATTGGGAGAAATGATAGAAGAAAAAAAACAACAACCCAAACATCTGAGTCATTTTAAATCTCAGTAACCTTCTGCTCTTAACTCTTAGGCCTGTGTCTTGGTTAAAGACAAAGGAAGAGGAGTGGGTGAGGCATTGTTAGAGAAGAAAAGGCAGGAACATGAAGGTTAGAGTACAGGCTAACCTTATCTTGACCTCACTGGTACTTTACTTTCAGTGTCATCTCTGCAAACCAACACAGTTTGTCACCATGGAAGATGTCTGCTCCACCTCTGCTGTAGTTGTCACGCCTCAAGAGTCTGTGCATGGACCTCTTCTTTTCACCATCTATGCCCTTTCTTCATTACCACCTACTCAGCTGGACTTGGCACGGTTCACCACACACGCATACTTGGTTATAATGGAAAATCGATCAATTTGAGTTGAGTTGTGGCGTATCGTACCGAGTCGATTTGAATAGGCATTAATGGAAAAGGGGCTTATATGTACCCCCTGCTCAGATTTCCCACCACCATGGTCTCTGCTTCCATTTCTATGCTGAAGATACACAACTTACCCTCACAATCACGTGCCATCTAACCCCCCCCAATATAAACAGTAATAAAACAGTGCTCCTGTTTGTGGCCCCCAAAGTCTCACTCAAAAATCCTTCACTGCCCCGACCCTCAATACCTGTGCGACCTGCTGAAGCCAAACGCACAGTCTCAGACACTATGGTGCTCTGCCTTGCATCTGCGTTCTGTCCCTCGCGTTAACCTCTAGTGACAGAGCCTTCTGTGTGGCAGCCCCGACCCTCTGAAACGCTCTCCCATTGTAGTTTTGCAACACTTCATCACTGGACTCTTAAGAAACGTAAAACTGACCTCTTCAACAAAGCCTTTCAAACTCTAGCATTTTTGTATGTTTATAAATTGATTTATTTAAACTCCTTTGTACAGTGCCCCTGGGTTTCTTGAAAGGCGCTATACAAATAAGTTTTATTATTATCATTGTTAAATATAGGGATATGACTCCCCCATTCCTTATTTTCCTACTGGCCCCTTTGCTTTTCTGTAGAAACGAGAAATCGACTGGTATTTATTTCAGGAACAAGGGCCGCGTGCAGGGTTGTAGTAACTACAGCTAATAAGCCAGATATGCGAAACGTTAGCTGAAGTTAGGTTAAGGAGAGAGGTGATGATGAGCAAGCAGTAGTATGACTTCATGTTGCTTATTACAGTTGGACCTTCAATTCTTCCTGTGCCTCTAAAAAGACAAAAAAAAATAACTTTAAGCTCTGATTAGGATCCTACGTGAGTCATATTCATTGTCATTAAGCCCATCACAGTTTTACATACCCTTTCTGTGCAAGTTTATCTCAGGTTTCCAGATGGTCCCCAGCAGTCTGAGCTGCTCTTCATCAGTCCAGACGATAATGCCTTCAGTCTGCTTCAGTCCAAGCTGCTCTCCCTCCTGACTGCTGCAGAGCTCCTCCTGTCCCTCTTTAATCTGTGGAGGCTCTGGGTCCTCCTGGTCCAGACTGGAGTTCCTCTGCTGGTTACAGACCTGCTCCTCATCCAGACCCTCCTCTTCCTCACAGTCATGCTGTTGTGAGAGGCCTTGAGAAAACAAAGAAACACAAGAACAATAATCAAGAAGGTGTTGATACAAAAAACACACACAACACTATTTTACAAAAGCATGAATCAAAACCTGAATAAATGGTGATCATTTACACACAAATGTTTTAGAGACAGTGAGCTCAGATTGTGGCGTGACTGGTGTCACAGTGAAATGTTGATCGTGTTAAATAAACTACATAAATATAAAATATTTTCATCAGCTGAGGCGCTCCCTGGTGGCACCCTCACATGCCTTGATGCACTGCAGCTTTTTGCAGGAATGTTTTCCACATTTGAAATGATCTGGTGTAAATTTTTAGAGCACAATATGCTTACAGTTAGGGCTGGGCTATATCATACCGTTCACGGTAATACCGGTGTAATTTTGGGCAACGATAGGAAAAAGACATATCGCGATAGAATATGGGCAAAACGCGCATGCACAGTACCTTTGTTTACATACGCACATGGTGGCGACGCAGAATGAGAAGAAAATGAGAAGAGCGAAAGCGGATCGTTGAATGAAACAGATGAACCAGAATTGGTTTGTAAAAATGCTGCAACTTCAGTGGTGTGGAACTGGTTTGGCTTTCGTCCGTCAGACACACAACAAAGCACTATTTTTGGTAGAGCATGCTAGCGGGCCGTCGTTATTACCGTGTTGTTTGGAAATACGGCACACTTAAACTCAATCCTTTGATTTTCCTGAAAATCGACAGTGCCCCTTATAATCCCGTGTGCCTTATGTATGAATTCTGGTTGTGTTTACTGACCTCGAAA